CGACAACAATTTATGATGAATTTTTCGTGGTTCCCTAGTTACCAGCCTCGCTTCTAAGGAAAGCGCGCGAACTAATGCCGTTGTCGAGCTTTATTTGGACAGGCTCAGGTTCCACCACCGCAATCGTCATTAAATACTTGTAGTAATCGTCGATTAACGAGTGCGTTCAAGTTTTGGTAGGCTTGGTATGTTAAAAAAACAAACATTCTAGTGACAGCATTTTGTGCCTGAGCTGTTAGGTAGACGTGAAATTGGTCTCCGTTCAGCAGGAGCATAATAAAAGTGAATTGATCGCAACACCACGTGCATACGAGAGGGTTTGTTCTCGTTTATACATGTATTGTGTAATATTAGTTACGAGCGGTCAGTAAAAAACATCAGCTCCTGAAAACATGGACTGCAGTCGGGAGGCCGCATTTAGTCCTCAGTCCCCATTTTATACCTGAGTCAACGCGCGTTTTATGCCCAGTCCGTAATGCTTAGTCCGCCTTTAAAACTTAAGTCTGTGTTTTATACCCAGTTCGTAGTTCGTAGTCCGCAGTCCGCAGTCCGCAGTCCGCAGTCCGCAGTCCGCAGTCCACAGTTCCCAGTGTATGTTTTATACTGACCGTGTAAATCGACACCAACCATGTTTGTTCCGTTGGTACGCGAGACATGTGCTTTTAGTAACAAAACTAAGGGGTGGCGAATGGTGCTTCAAAAGCTCTGGGTCTCGTAAGATTTTAGTCGAATTTCACGGGTCTCACAGTCTCGTTTTTTAGCGGTTATGTGCGTCTCAAAGTATCGATTTTTCTACAAAGCTGTCTCGGAGTCTCAATTTTTCGCAAGGCTGAGGGTCTCGAAGTCCCAATTCGTTCCTTTATCTGTTTTTATAAATGACGTCTTCTCTTCACTTGATGTTGAATTTCAATGAAGCAACTTGAAAATTTTCCGAGGAAAAGTTAATCCTAACTTCTCCTTATTGTCTTAATTCCACAAAAAGGTACAAAACCTACCGCAACGTCCGTTTTGGCGCCAGAAAAACAGTTATTCATAACTTAGTGTGTTATAATCGAATTTCCAGTTCCAGTCAGTTCCAAGAAGCTGGCTAAAGGCTGTGCAAGCTCATTCTAGCTCTCAACTAAATCTGGGGCTCGAATTTTAAGAGTCTGAATAGCCTGGAGAACAGGCGGATTAGCGGGTTCTAGCGCGATACACGAGCGCGCGCGCGAAGCGTGAGAGCAGGGCGGAA